AGATATTAAAACGGAAAAGCAATGCTTGTTGGTTATATCCCATGGTAGAATCATGCCTCTCGGAGGAGGAAGTCCTCAGAGCCTGGCAAAGAAAGAAGTCCCGCTTTTTGGAGAAGTAAAGGAAAGTAAAGAAAGTCAATATTTCTCGCCTAATTTGATGAAATTTTTAAGATGATGCGAAGTGGAAGGGGAGGAAAGACTTAAGTTAGCGCGGAGTGGATTTGACATTTTTGGGGGAAAAGACAAGTATTGCAATAAATCGAAAAGATTATTAAAAAGCAAATTTAAATCGAAACAGTTAACCAATGTCCCTACGGCGGTAGGGTTTCTTACGACGAAAGATAACAATTGTATTTTTTGCGATAAACTGCATGATAGTAAGGACTGTTTCGAAGCACGCTCTCTGTCATTAGATGAGAAAAAGAATAAAATTAGGCTTAAGAGGTGTTGCCTAAAGTGCCTTTCGCCTGGACATGTTGCTAAGTCGTGTAAACAGTTTGTACGTTGCTATGTGTGTGGTAAGGCTCACGCAATTTCTCTCTGCCCGGATCTGCAGATACAGGAAACGCAGGAAAAGGCAACAAAGCCAGACACCATTCAGGCAACTACGGCGGGACAGATGTGTTCTACGGAGGTAGCTCTCATGACAATTAAAGTCAATGTGTTAGGAAAATCAGGCACCAGAGAAAAACGTGCTCTTCTCGATTGCGGATCACAAAAATCATACATTTTGAAGTCTACGGTACAGGAATTAGGACTAACTCCCATTGCCGAGGAAACTGTAGCTCACACGCTTTTTGGAGGGGTTAAAATTGAACCGAACGTACATAAAAAGTATCGGATCAAGCTACGCTCTCTAAATCCGTATATGAGAAAAGAAATGGAATTTTTATTTTTGGATCAGGAAGCTATATGTGGAAATACAGCACGCGTACCTAAGGGCCCTATTTTAAAAGAACTTAAGTATAAAAAGATATGGCTTTCAGACATAGGAATAGGTTGCCCGAAGTTAGAGATGCTAATCGGCAGTGACATTTACGGTTCAACTCTTACAGGGAAAGTCAAACAGCTCGATGAAGGTTTGACTGCAGTTGACACTACATTAGGATGGATTGTTTGTGGTCGACTTAAGGAGCATTCTGAACCACAAAGTAGTGGTATATCTACTCTGAATGTAAGTCCGACGTTTCGGGACCTAAACGTATCCGATCTTTGGAACTTAGAGACAAGAGGAATTTCAGATTCCAGCAGTAATTCTACAAAGAACGCGGAAGAAGATATTGCTTGTGAACATTTTTTAGGCTCCTTAGGTAAAAATGAAGAGCAAAGTCACGTAGCAGAAAAGCTTCGAAATTCTTTTTATGTCGATAATTGTGTCACGTCTCTTGACACAGAGGAAGAGTTGAAAGATTTTATGGATAAATCAATTGACATTTTGGCAGAAGCTAAGATGGACCTACGGATGTGGACATTCGGTCCTATAAACGACGTTAATAAAATTTCGAGGAATGATAATTCGGAATCCTCTTTCTAAGAATCAGATTTCAGTCTTGGGTATTCTATGGGACAGAACGGGTGATAGCCTTTCTATTCATATTAAGCCTGTGCGAAATCTAGACAACCTGTCAAAAAGAGAGATTTTGTCATTAACACATGGGATTTTCGATCCGCTAGGGTTCTTAGCTCCTGTATTATAACCGGCTAAGTTATTGATTCAAGAAGTTTGTTCTATTAAAGCAGATTGGGATTCTCCACTGTCAGAAGAGGTCAAACAGAAATTTTTGAAATGGTTCTGTGAATTACAGATCTTATCAGATTTCAAAATATCCCTCAGAACAGGATATGGAAACAGGCAAACTTGGACTTTGCATGTTTTTTGTGACTCGAGCCAGAGATCTTACGCGGCCGTGATTTTCTTACGCTGCGAAAACAATGGTGACACAAGTGTAAATTTTCTGATCGCAAAATCTCGTGTTGCACCTTTAAAAAAGATGACAATACCACGTCTTGAACTTTTAGCCTGTATTTTAGGAGTACGTCTAGCGAAGTATGTTGTAGAGGCATTATCCTTAGACGAAATTGAAAAACATTACTGGTCTGATTCCACCAATCAAGCGCAATGATCAATGGGGAACTTTTGTAGGAAATCGTGTCAAAGAGATTTGTGCACGTTCAGAGGAAAATCAGTGGTCTTACGTGCCAAGCAAGTTAAATCCAGCTGATATACCATCTCGTGGTTGAACCCCTCATCAAATTCTAAAGAATTCATGGTGGGAGGGTCCTAACTGGTTAAAGAATCCGATGGATAGTTGGCCACGCCTTGAACTTAAACCCAATGAGGCATTAATTTCTTCCGAAATCAGAAAGAAAACTGTAGTATTAAACGTTAGTGTGAGTACTGATACATCTAAGTGGTATGAAAAATATTCTAAATTTTCAGCAATTGTAAGAATTTTAGCATGGGTTCTAAGATTTATTAGACGCTGTCAGGCAAAGCAAAATCTGTAAATAGAGCAAAATTCTTGTCTGCAACCGAGTTAAAAGTTTCAAAGAAAACTTTGAGTCTACTAGTTCAACATGAAAGTTTTTCTCAGACTGGAGATGTAATAAATGGTCTTTCAGTCGTCAGAGATGAAATAGGACTGATAAGAGTGAAAACAAAGATTCTCGCAAGAGATGATGGATTTGGATTTAAATATCCAATTCTACTTCCGTCAAAGCATCATATTGTGCAAAGTCTAGTGCTCGAATACCATAAAAAGAATTCTCATGCCGGTGTTCAAATGCTCATGTCAATGATTAGAGAAGAATATTGGATTATTTAAGCTAGACAAACAATTAGATCAATAATCAAGAAATGCATTACCTGCAAGAGATTGAAGAAAGTGTCCTTCAACCATACCTATTCATTTACCTTTAGATAGAGTACGGGACGCTCGAACTTTCGAAGTCACCGGAATTGACTTGTGTGGTCCCCTTATTCTTAGGAAAAGGACTAAAGCCTGGGTGGTGCTGTTTACATGTGCAGTCTACAGAGCAATACATTTCGAGATCGTGACATCCTTAAGTGCAGATTGCTGTGCACTCGCGTTGAGAAGATTTATCGCTCGACGAGGCCGTCCGACAGTTATATATAGTGAAAACGACACGAACTTTATCGGTGTCTCTGGGTGCATTGAACCAAATTGAGTGGCAAAAGATAGCTGCTCTTGAAACTCTAAATCCAATTAACTGGAAATTCATTTCCCCCAACCGCAGCATGGTGGGGCGGTTGGTGGGAGAGACTAATTCGCATAGTGAAAAATCTACTTGTTTCAAGTTCTTGGTAAGTTCGTCTGTTACGTATGAGGAACTGCTCACAGTTCTTTGCGACGCAGAAGCCACCCGTTAACAACCGCCCCATTAACATACATCTCCAACGATGCAGATGAGTTGAGGCCTCTAACACCATCCAACTTTCTCCAAGATGTAAAAGAGATATTGGAACGGCTGATCTTGATCATTTGGATAGGAACAAACTGGTAGTAAAGAGAGAACGTTATTGCCAAGAACTGCAGTGAACAATTCAGGACGACGATTCCAGGAAAGAATATTTAGGTCAGTTCTGGTTCAAAAAGCTGGCACATCTGACAAAATTTTCAAAGTTGGAATACTGTGGTCCTTGGTTGGTTCTGAAAAACCTGAGAAGAGACTGAATTGGCCATTTGCAGTTGATTGAAGAACTGTATCCAGGGAGAGACGGCCATGTGAGAGTCGTCAAAGTCAAAACTACTTGGTCATCTCGTTGGTCCAGTCCAAATAATTTACCCTCTAGAAGTTAATTCTTCTGGAGATCCCATTATACCAGATCAACATACTACTAATGACCCACCAGCAACATCACAGAATGACATTCCAATTCAGAAAGATGTTTCAGCAGCTCCTCGGACGTCAAGAACCGGCAGAGTAATCAAGATACCTAAGAGACTGGGCTACTGAACTTTCGAACTTTGTTGATTTACCTCGAAGGTGGCAAATCAAGGTGGGAGGATGTTACGTAATGCCGTCAATAAACTTCGGAAAATATCCACGAGACAGTTTTATGAATAACTTTATTGAATGAACACGATACTTTTAATGTATTAATGTTTTAATGAAGCGAGTTTTATGTATCCTTTTTTTGTGGATGGCATCAGTTTTGGCGTTGCCATGCACGTTCTAATCCGTGTTTGCTTAGTGATAGAAGTGTTCTATGAATTTAGTGTTGATATGAATTGAATTGAGATATATATTGTATTTGTGTTCTGTTTATTAAATAATATCCTAGTTCCTGCTTTACTTCAAAGAAACTGTTTTAATGCTGATGGTCATTCGTCAAGAAGGCATGTGCAGAATTCAAGTAGATAAGATTTATTTCTTTTTCTATAAATATTGAAATTGTAAACAGATATTCTAATAGTAGACTCACTGTGTCTAATTATTATTAAGGTTTATATACGTATATATTAAGAACCTGTGCAGAACAACTGTTGACGGGTAGTCTCGGCGTAGTTCTGATATTTTTTTTTATACTAGTTTCCGTTACACCTGGGTTGTGACATCAGGTTGAAAACAAAACAAAACATAATAAAATTTATTGAATGCTAAAAAAATGGCTACATACAATTCTGCAGAGAAAAACCTATCTCTTTCAAAAATCAAATTCTATACATTTTACGTGCGAGAGCAATTCGTGGCTCTAAAGCTTGCGTTTTTAACATTGCCAACGATTTAATTATTTTAATAAAGACTATTTTAACAACTATTGAAAACGTGTTTGTAAGTTAAAAAATAATAATTTTCAATTTATTCTCACGAGACATCCTTGTCCATATTAATCTTCAGTCTCTTCTTCTTTTATGTGACCTTATCACATCTTTCTCCCAACTGAATTTGAACTACCTAGTAATCCTCTTGACGTACATCCAGCGTTACAAGGACGTGGTATTTCTGTTTTTCTAAAAGATGATTGTCTTCCTACGATGCCTAATTTAAGACTTTATACAGATGGATCACAACATGATGACCACACTGGTTGTGCATTGGTCGCGTATTACGATAATGAAGAAATTTTTCAATGGTTATGTAAATTTAGAACCCACAATAGTGTATTTCAAGCCGAGGCAGAGGTACTTCTTCAGGCTGTCAAATTTATCAAAACTTCTGGTGAGCCTGAAAGCATAATTATCACAGATAGTCTCTCCTCTTTATCTGCTATTCAAAATTTCAGACATACTCCTACAATAACGCAAATTCAACAGGAATTGCTCTCGGCCACTCCTCTTAAGATAACGCTTGCATGGACAAAAGGACATGCTGCTGATGTAGGCAATATAGCAGCAGATAAACTTGCTAAAGAGGCTGCAATAGGCATTACAACAGGAAACTATACTGTACATAATTTACACCTATTGCTGCCACATTCCTTTTTAAAACTTACTGTACTTTTAAAAACTCTTTCAGAATGGCAATCTGAATGGGACAGTTCTGACACTGGTCATCGGACATACAGCTTTATTATATGTCGATGTTAAACGGCACATCACTAATCCTCAAGTGGTACGCTATGCTTCAGGGCATGGCCCATTCCCTAGTTATTTTAACAGATTTGGAACTACAAATACTGATGTATGTGTATGTGGAGACATCTGTGATCCGGAACATTATGTAAAGCTTGTTCTCTAACTCAGCGTCTCCATATTCCTATTCCTGCCAAAAACACATTAGCTTTTAACAGATTCCTTATCAAACAAAGGTACTTAGTGCTAAAACTCACCAGAATTATGGATTTATTGTTTGATATAGGCACAGATTTATGTCAAGTTACTTAAGTTATATCTTTTTCTTTTTATGCCATGTATGCCATATATTTAGTATCCTTATGTACTTTCAGTTACTACATTGTATCTTTTATTTGCACGTCTTATTTAATGCTATATAATTGTTAATATTCTACATTTATATTTGATTTTGCTGTAATTTAGAGACTTATATTCTACTTATAGATCCTGTACTACAAATTGTTGTATTTCAATATATGTAACATTTATTACCCAGTCAATCACATATCCTGGAGTCATTTTATCTTACTGTTTCTTGTATCTTCCAGTGTTATATATGCAGTAAATCGTTTCATCTGATTTGCTTTTCTGACAGGTGGTAAATTGTACTTATCTGATTTGTTTTTCTGTAGTCCCTATAATTGAACTGCATCTATGTTTTCTATACCTTCTTGATTATAGTACTACATTGTAGACAGCATCAAATTGTTATTCAATTATCTCTTATATTCTATTATGAGCAATGTAATGTTATACTGAATGTCATAATCAACAAAATGTGTATATTAATATAATCCTCAAGATACTTCTATCAAGCACAGTATTTCATTATCATTCTTATTTAGTATATATGTATTATCACTATGATTTGTATTATCGTCTCTCAATTGTACTGAACTTATTATTACTGCTAACAGGCAGTATATTGTACTCCTATGACTTGGTTTCCTGTAGCTCTTAGAATTGCATTATATCTTTGTTGAACATATTTACTTGCTCTTGGTATTGAATTGTAGACATTATTGAATTATTATCCAGTTCTCTTTGATACTTCTGTGATATTTCTATATAATATTATTTGGAGTAATGTGGTAGTATGCTAAATGTAATACTCATTAATATATGTATGTTAACATATTTCTACCCAATACAGTATACTAAGTTTTCACTATGGAAAAATAGAGATTAAGGTATCATATATTGCTATTGTATGTATAATCTCTGTTCTATATATTCTCTTGATTATAGTACTCATTGTAGACAGCATCAAATTGTTATTCAATTATCTCTTATATCCTTTTATGAGCAATGAAATGTTATTTTGAATGTTATAATCAACAAAATGTGTATCTGACTATAATCCTTAACATACTTCTATCAAGTACAATATTTCATTATCATTATTATTTAGAATATATGTATTATCACCATGATTTGTACTTTCGTATCTCAATAGTACTGAACTTATTCTTACTGTATACAGGCAGTAAATTGTATTCCCATGACTTGGTTTCCTGTAGCTCTTAGAATTGCATTATATCTTTGTTGAAAATATTTACTTGCTCTTGGTACTGACTTGTAGACGATATTGAATTATTATACAATTCTCTTTGATATTTCTTTGGCATTTCTATGTTATATTATTTTGAGTAATGTGGTAGTATGCTAAATGTAATACTCATTAATATATGTATGTCACCATGTTTCTACCCAATACAGTATATTAAACTTTCACTCTCGAATTATAGAATTTAAGGTATCATATATTGCCGTTGTATGTATAACCTTGATTTTTTAACAAAGAATGTGTCTGTTGTAGTACTTCTATTATATAGTGAAGATTCCTACTTATCTTATCCTGTACCATTTCAAGTACAATGTATTATAAATAACTTCAGGTTTCCATTTTACGAATATTCATCTGTATATAACTTATTTTATTATTCTTCATCTATTTTGTATTAATTTTAGTTTTTCATTTCTTTTGTATTAATTCTATATTTTATTTTTCAAAATTCTGTATTATTATTTCATACTTGTAATGTTAATTCAACTTTATACTGATGTAATACTTAGCCCTTGTTTAGCAATGTATTATGTTTTAATTTTTAATAAACGCCCGGGCCTTGTTTGAGTTGTCTCCAGAGTGCGCTTTTGGTCGACTTGACAGCGCTCTGGGTGGTCCTTCGCACCCAGCGCACTTGACAGCGCTCTGGGTGGGCTTCGGTGCGGGGTGCGAGGAGCTTGTGTGGCTTCATTGTCTACGGCTCAGGATAGAGCAAGTAATTTTCAAATACAAATGCCATCCCGACATGATCATTTGACTTGAAACCGTCTGTATATATCGGATAATAACTGAAATATTTGTGCCTGTACTCTGCTCACCTACAAGATTATCTTTCCTCTTGAAAGAGTGCCTCAGAAGCTTAGCTTGTTGAACAGGTTTTAGTAAAGTCTCTTGAACTGGCAAGCACACAGGATGATGTAAATCTATCAAATTTTTAATATTTTCAAGATTTTGGTGGAAACCGCGACAATTCCATGAGATGAGGGTGGCCATTATGCTTGTTTGTTCTTTCGGTGCTGTTTTAGATTTTCGTGGGCTTATGTTTTTTTTGTTTTGTTTTTGTTTTGGGACATCTAGTTCCTCTTCCACAACCATCTCAGAATCTATACTATCGGGACTGATGCTCCCAAAGGAGCTAAAACTTGGATCTCTGAGAGGTTTTAAAATTTTCCTAGTTTCTTTACTGTTTTTACCTTGGTTATCTTTTCTTTCTTTGTTCTGTTGAGCTGTAATTGTTGATACTGGTTTTTGTGATTTTTTTTTGCATATTCTAGATTGGCTGTTTATTTGGCAAGCCTATTGCTGTTTGCGTAATTACAGATTTAAAGGATTTTAATGCACCGGCATAGGACAAACATTTTCGGGGCTGTGCATCTGTTACCAATTTTCTTGCTTCTGCATAAGATATGTTTCTCATTAGTTTCATTGTCTGCACCTCCTTTTTTGATTTCTCCCTGGGACATTGTCGTGAGAAAGCTGTGTGGTTTCCTATGCAATTTGCACACAATGGCTCAGCATAGCAATTTTCGCTGTCAAGGCCTTCAACAGAGCAGCGTCCACATGTGATTTTGCCACGACAGGACATTTTCGAATAGCCAGAGCGCTGCCATTGAAAACATCGCAAAGGTTTCGGTATATAAGGTCTTACTTGGCAGTGTAAGTACCCAGCCTGAATACTTTTTGGCAGATCAGGCGACTTGAAGGTCAGGATTATATGCTTTGTATCAATCAACTGACCTTCTTTGCGTATCTTGATCCGGCTGGTAGCACAGACATTCTGGTCAGACAAATCAGAGACAATTTCCTCTTCTGAAACGTAGAGGAGGTCAATCTTTGAGATAACACCAAGAGAAACATTGAGTGTTTTACGTGCTGACACTTTAACATCGACTTTCCAAGTTTATTCAATCCAAGGAGTGTTGCCGACTGAGTATCTAATAAAGTTTCAACAAGAAGACCTCCAGAGCGTAACCGTTTGATATTCTTCGGTTCTCCAATCGAAGATTGGATGTACTTTTGAATTACGAATGGTGACCGCTTTTTAAGATTGCCTGTGATATCATTTATGACAAGAAAATATTTCGGTGGGCTTGTTGGATTCATATCTGGATTTGCATTTACATTTGTTTTTTACGCGTTTTGATGCAAAATTATGCTCATTTGTATTTATTAAAGTTGTTTGAGCCATATTGAATGAAAAATTACGATTCGGACCCGGCAGCCCCACCCAGTACGGAGCCCGACAAGGGGACGCAGAAACCTGCCCCAGGGTTAAACGAGTCTATACGCAACAGTCCCACAGTCGGCTTTCTCGAAAGCAGGTACTCCCGAGAGCTTATCCCCAAGCCACTGACACAAGGACTAGTGACCAGCCGATTGAGAGCCGTGAAGACGAATAAGGTGCCTCCCGTTTAGCTGAAGCAGAGGCCAAAGCAGTGCGTTGGGTACAGTATCACGCTCCTCAACTACCAGGACCCTCCTTTCCAGCGATACGGGTCTCCACGCACGGCAAACACGTGGGCAGTTTTCTCGCCACATGGAAACAAGAAACAAGAGCTGTTCCAATTCTCGTGACGAGCCCCAACCTCCGAAGAGTAAAACCACAAGAGAGCATGGAAAGAAAAAAGTATCAGGTCAGAGGAGAGGAGACGGAAAAGCGGATAGAGCACCGGGGCTCCAGGAACGTGACACCCTCTCACTAAGATGATGATCCCCTGAAGGGCTAGGGTACCTCGGGATTGCCACACTCGTACTCACAAGAATGAGTCCCTGAGGGGAACTATGCCTGTGCTCAGCAAAAATTTATCTGTACGTGCTCTCATTAGTGAAACTTTTGACGTAACTGTGGAAAATATCAAGAAGCTGGATTCCCAAGGTGGGATTTCAAAATGTTGTACTGCTTGTGAGGACATATGAGAAAGGGAGAATTTTTCAATGACATGACGAACTGTGCGACAATGTTGCACCACACAATAACCGGCGAACGAGAAAAACTCGTAACAATGTTTTATGCATGAATTTGAACTTGAAACTGAAAACTGGATGCTTTTTGAATTTTCTACGAACTAATTTCCCTTTCCGCTAATTTTCGTGAGTACAATTTGACTTTGCCACGGACTGATTGAATTTTGTTTCAAAGTCACGCCCCCGGGCGTGGTGCAGTAGCATCCTAATGATTTTAATACTGCGAATGGCCTTTATAGGCGGATACTGAATGAACAGGTCAGAACTCGTAGTAGTTGCACACCTGCGGTGAGAAAGACATAAAGCCATAAAGGATATTGACCATGTGATTGGAAATTTAACAAATTCCATTCTCAGCGCATACAATGCCGCCACTAAGAAAATCCCCTGGGATCATGACTCTGACAAACTACCACGTTGCATTCGAGATAAAATTAAAGAGAGGAATAAACTCCGTAAAAGGTTTGATACTTCCTGCGCCCCGAATATTAAAAGAAACTTAAATAAGTTAAATAAAGAGATTAAAAAAGATATTA